AATATTCATGAAAAAAAGACATTTGACCGTGTGGAATTTCTTGAAGATTTTAATGGAAAGCCCCGCTTGAAACGCTCGCACAAATATTACACCCAAATGCAAGCTCAGATGTGGGTTTGTGGTGCCAATCATGGCTTCTTTATTGTTTGGACTCTGGGCGGCCAACCATTGTATGAACGAGTAGAACTTGACTTGGAATTTTGTCTGAAAGTTGTGAACAATATCACCCTCTTTTACAAATCTTTTGTGTTACCTTGCCTGTTAGGATACAGGGACATTTTTGAGTGCCCCAAGTGTGACAAGGTTATTTTGGAGAGTGATGAAATAAGTGATTCTGCAAACGAAAACAGTGTATGCTGTGACCGCTGCAGCACTTGGTGGCATTTGCCATGTGCTGAACTCAGTGTGAATTCTGCAGATGCACTCGACTCTTGGATTTGCCAGAGCTGCCTGGCTGATGCAGCAAACATACATGATGCTGGGGATGATGAACTTGACTTGAACTTACCTGAGGAAGAAGAACAAACTGATAACTCAAACACTGTAAATCATGTCTGCCCAGTTTGTTGTCTTAAGAGTATCCCTGTGAATGGAGAACATGTTTGCACAGTCTGTAAAAAAGCTGTCCATGCTTGGTGCAGTAACCATGAGGACATAACAAGTTCTGCAGACCTAATTTGTAATTACTGCATTTCAGATTAATACATGTACTGTACATTGAATTTTAATTACTGTTCACAAGGAGAAGTTTCACCACATGGTCACATACAGCTGTAACTAATCCCAAACATCAAATCGACAAAATCATAGATTCACAAGGTGTTAAGAACTTTAATACACCAGTCCAAGAAGTACATGTATAACCTACAAAATGTTTTAATTGCATCATGTAATATTTTTCTACATGTAGAAACAATTTAAGAATGTTGGATGCATTTTCATTTCTACTAAGTTAGACATGGAGAAAAGTCAGAGTTATTTACACATTTCTATATATTTTTTATAAGCACTTATTGTTTAGTATTGTTTTGTTGATGCATTTTTTATGAAATGTTATGAAAATGTTTTATGAACATTCCTGTTGCTACGGTTAATTACGCACATTTCTAATAGCAAATTTCAATTCCTTAATCAATTTAACATTATGTAAATACAACTTGATTTGGAAATATACCGGTATTTCATGATAATTTAAACAAAATTGTTTTGTACAAAAAGTAACATTTCATTCACTCATGGAAGGACCTCCATTCAAAGAAAGCCAAGTTCATTAGATAGCTTTTGTGGGGACTGTTCAATCTGAAATAGAAAATGCAAGGTATTGCTCTTATGCCCTGAAATACACAACGATGTCATCTATGTACAGTGTAGTAGTAGTTTCACATTTCATTGACATGTTAACAGTTCTCAAATGAACCTGCCCCAGTCTCTAAACTGAATATGTGGTCACCTTGGCATATTTGTAAATAAAAATATCAAACACAGAGTGGTGGAAGCAAATTGCACAATGCACAGCAGACACGAACAATATCATCAGCCAGGGGAAGCAGGGTAATAGGCAGTTCATTTTTCAGAATAAGAAAAACTTTGAGCCGTCCAATAGCTTGTTCAACATAAATTCTGACATTCGCAATGTTTGATGTCTCTCTGACATCACGTGGTAGCATTTGCATAGATGATGCACAACTAGGTGGAATGCATAATGTTGCCATGTGCATCATCAAGTCCTCTCGGATTTTAAAACCTCTGTCTGCCATGACTTCATCGTAAGGCTCAATCATTTTTAAAAACCCACTATTCCTTACAATAAAAATATCAGATGCCCTGCCTCCATAACATGGTGAAACATATGAAATTGCTCCATTTGGGGTGATGGCAACAAGGACTTTGAAAGTGTAGTGGTGCTTGTACTCACTCCATAGTGTTGCTGCCAGGTCAAGTCCACTTGGAGTTTCTGTGAAGCACTCAAAACAGTCAATTACACATCTTACTTTGGGATAAAGCTTTTTAAAACAGTATGGGAGGGTTTTCTTGATCTGTTGTCGACTAGGCCACACAATTAAAACGGAGAGTTCCTTGGACGTGAGCTTAACCCAAGTTATAAAAACACTACTGACAGTGGAAGCTGACACTTGGAACCTGAACCCCAAATCAAAAGTTAGAAGAGCTAGTCTTAGTTTCATAAGAGTCAGTAAAAACTCCTGTTCAAGTCGAAGCTTCCTCTCTGGCCCAGGTCTTCCTTTGAGATAGCCAGTTGCTAACTCAAAAGGAGAGGGAGGTTGACACGATTCTTTTCTTGTTTGTTTTCCACCCCTCCAATATTGCATAAACCGAGCCTTTGGGCTCAAATAATCGAACAAGAACTCGAATGCTTTCGGTGATGGCAGACCTGTGTAGACTTTTACTTCCATTTCTCTTGTCAACTGTTCGAATTGCATTGGAACTGAAACGGAGTAATCTGCATCTGCTTCCATTTCTTCATCATCACTATCACTCTCCTCAGGATCCTGCTTTTGACTCCTTGGAGCTAGGGAACAGGCTTCTTGCAGAACCAGCTTCTTGTAACTTGTTCGCTTTCCTTTTCTTGGGTGATTTTTTCTGCAGGTAATCCGAAACAGTCATAAAAATAGACGGAAAATCCGTTTTAGGGTTTTCAGGAGTTCTTCGTCCACATGGGAAATGATTTGAACACACGAAAGTCCCACTAGCACCAGGGGAAGGATTGAAGGAATCACTTCGAGTCTTCGCCACTTGTTTTCGCCATATTTCGGCAAGTTTAGGGTCGGTTGGCCACTTGTGATATACTAAATTCTCCACATGTGATCTGACAAAAGCAAGGTCAGGATATCTTTTATCATTATCGCAAAAACCTACCGCACAACGAGCGTGTTTTGGCATGTTAACAGATTATTCAGCCGTGTCGCCATTTGCATTTCATGCTCGGCCGCGCGCTCGCCCCAGTAGTTTTGCACCCCCGGCAAAATGGCGGTGTTAACCTTGAAAAGGTCTATTCCTATATTTAGCACATCTAGTGGACCTTCAGTCTCTTCATGTGGTAGCCCGGGTCACCCAACGACTGGTTTCTGTGAAATAGCTGTTCGAAGAATTAGAAGCACATATTATCTAGAGATTTCTACAGCTCGAAAAAAGGTACAAATTTGATCATAGATGAATGTATCATTCATCTCAGTTTTTCGAAGTTTTCAGTCTATTAACTTCTATGATTGAAGCTGGGAATGGGATTTTCACTTTTCACTTGTCTTAGTGGGAGTATTTGGTCATCATTCGCAAAAATGGACTACTTATAATAAATTTTGGGCTTTAAAATCAGTAACGGAAAGATCTACATCGGAAAACGTTGAGTTTCTGTATATTTAATAGCATCAAAGATTTTCGAAAAAGTAAAGCGCTAATAAATTCGCAACGGCTGAAGAAGCCCAAGGATGTCACCAAACAGATACAAATTTTATAGAGTTTCCAAAAACGCATTTTCAGAGCTGCTTTTTAAGACAACAAAATCTTAAAGATATCATTAAATGGTTTTTTGAGTAAATTTTGGAGAGAGGCGGCGTCGGATATGGTGGGAGGGTTGTAGAGCGATGTTTCTCTCCTCCTCACTATAATATATACTTACCTAAAAATACTTGCAATGGAAAATGTTAAAATACAAGGATTGTCCGAGCTAACCCGCGACTTAAGGCCCTCTTCAGTCATATTTTCATCGAGAAATTTCAACCCCTTTAACCGAGTGAAATTGTTCACGAAAAGCATGCATGAAACATCTAATTTTTTCCGGTCTCACTGGATATTTGATTGTCTTAGAAGGATTAACTGAAATGATAATCACATTTTCATTTTGGTGATCAATTACTCCCTACATACCAAACAGACCTTCAATATTTTAAAGAGCGAAATAAAAATGTTCAAAAATTATTAATGTAATAGATTCAAATACAATTTTAGCCACAGTTAGATTGTTAGTTAACTAGTTAGTTAGTAGTACCCTTTGCATTTTACCACGAACAGTTTTTGCTCCTGATGTAATAACATAACCTTTTAAGCTGTACATATCTAGCCGGATTTTTGAAAACGTTATCGTCAAATGGACCTTTTCCGTCCAACAGTTTTTTTCGGCCAAAAGCTATATCCAAAGTAGCTCATTATAAAAACTAAAAGTACAACCATTGCTTTTTTTTCTTCTCCTCCTTTCCTGATCTCCTCCGTCGCTCTTTCTTTTTCTCCTTTCCTTTTCTTTCGTTACTGTGATTTTGGAGCCGTTCTCGGGCTTACGAAACCTGCCTTTTGACGCCTTTTCAGTCAAATGACTGCAAATTTCGTTAGGTTGGTTTTCCAAAAATCGGTTAGATATAAATATTTTATCAGCAGATGTAGAGCCATTTTCTTTGGAAATGCTGTAAATTAACCACCACCATTATAATAATGATAATTATTATTATTTATACTCAGGTGAACGAGCGCTGAGTAGACGTTAATTAGTTTTAAAAACATTCAGCGCTGAAACGGAATTTAATGCCCTCAACTTTTAGTCAACCAATTTATCCTAATCTGCCCTCAAACGTCACTGATAATTTCCACAGGTGAAAACAAGGGATTTCACCTCAGCTTTTGCGAAGGCAATTTGAAAAACTGCAAGTTAAAGGTGAGCTTCCTAATTCGTCGAATTATTATTCATGTATCTTCACTACTGATCTTTGAAAAACAGACGTCAACATTGTTTGTCTCACCTCCTACTTTTCTTTTCTAAGTAATCAAACTTTATTCAATTCAAATTCTTTCTAAAGGTAGACGAACAACAGAAGAGAACGGGTAAAAGTGTGAAGCGAAAAGGAGTAAAAGAAAACAAGTCATGCAATTATCTTCATCCGAGTGCATCACCTGGTTTGCTGTAACCCTTACCGTGTGTGTTGCTATAGTAACAGTGAACCTTCTATCAATCATTCTTTTTATAAAAAACTGCAGTCTTCGCTCGCACACGTGCAATGTACCTAGTTATAAACCTGACCATAGCTGATATGTTTGTCGGAGGATTTTCTCACTTTCATCCATTTCGACTCCTCTCACTTTTCTCATTCGACATTGTGAAAATGAACTTAAGCCCGGAACTGAATGTGATAATTAACTTTCTCTTCCCCTGGTTTCCTCTGACCTCTCTAACAAACATTGCAGTCATTTCATTACATCAGATGCATGCAACAATTCGTCCCTTCAGGCATCGCCTCATCAAAAAGTGGGTCTACGGGGTAACAATTGCTGGTGTCTGGGTTTTAGCTGCAATGGTATCAACTGTCACTTTAATACTTGAGCAATATGGGAAGGAATGGTCGTATGGTCTTTACTTATGGCAATGATACTGTTGTTTGTGTCTATTTGTTATCTGTGTTTCTTACTCTTCCATTGTTGTTAAATTTTTGTGTGGAGCGCATCCTCAGCACCATGGTGCAGCCAACAAACAAAAGAAACTGACCGTAACATTATTCATAATGACTATCGTATCCTTACTGATGTGGCTACCATTTGCGGCTTGTACTTTTCTTTTATTTCAAGCTGGTATCATAAAATTCCTTTCTTCAAAGGCCATAGTACGTTTAGAGGTTTCTTTAACCATTCTTTATTTTATGAACTCGCTTGTTAATCCCATCGTTTACACAATCAGAATTCCAGAGTTTAGGAAAGCTCTCCTGCTGTTATTTAAACGTCAACGAAGACAAAATGCCCGAGATATTCCTCTTCATGCGCTTTAATGTACTTTGTTTAACACTTTGAAGCCAACTAATGATTTCGTCATCTTCATTAAAAAAAAACAGTAGTTGATTGTATACTATTATTGCGGCCTTTAAAGTTCGATAAAAAGGCCGTAAATAAAATTTAATGTTGTGGTGCATTTTTTTCCTTGGTTCAAATGCTATTTTCCTTTGTTTTAAACTCTGATTCTCAATCGTACATAACCATACCGCAACACAAAGGAAAACAAAATCTAAACCATTGATGAGTTGAACCACAGTATTTCGTCAAATACTACAACTAAGTATAGAGCCGGTTAGTAGTCTCGTTTAGTATATACTAAAACAGTGGATAGTGTTTTTCGCGCGCTCTGATTGGCTACTCAATCAGTGAATATCCTGCACTATTCACTGATTCAACTCCAGTTCCTCCGAGCGAGCGACGCCAAACTCGTTGCGAGCAAAATGCCTTCCCGGTTTGCTGCCGTAAACAAACAAAGAAATTTCGAAACTAATCAAGCAAGCCGTTTCCGAAATATACGAAGAAGGTGACGAAGTTCGGACTGGAAGTTTTAACAGGTAAAGCTTTGTCTTTTTGACACGAATTTATCCATAAAACCGGTGGAAAAGTTTTTTGTTTACAAATGTAAATTAAGTTTAAGTCTTGCGTTACTTTCAGTTGAGTTGTTCATAAATATTTAAAGCTTAAAACTAAATTTAATAATCTTTTTTTATAGAATGATTTTAAATACAAAAAGAATTCACAACTCCTTTTGAAGAAATTTCCCCGCCAGAGCTAAACAAATGCCTTCAAAAGTTTTAATTGTCGGCAAGAAAAAGCGACGGCAGCGGCCGCCCGGTCATTACGCGCTAAAATTGAAATCGTTGGCAACAGTATTTGAGTTAAAAATCATCATTTTTGTGCTCAATGATCTCACTGTTTTAGTATATACTAAAACAATTATTCACCTCAGTGTCGGTGGCTAGTCGTGGATATTCACCTCACTGCTTCGCAGTTCGGTAAATAACCACGACTAGCCACCTCCACTTCGGTGAATAATTGTTATTTATCTTTTCGTTACGTTTAGTATGCTTCCAAATGAAAAGATATCCTTTACATTTCCTTGTTTAGAGTTAGTCATTATGATTGTGGTCGCAAAAAAATATATCCATTATGTGCATTAAGCGCAGAAGTTGTTTATTTCTTAATTTGTTATTTCACAACGTGATATCTACTTAGCGCGGCTTGTTTCAGTGGAAGGTAATTCTAAAATACCTGTGTCAGTAAAATCAGCATTTTAAGAGAATTCAATAAAGTTACTATTTAAACAGGATTTCTTTACGTTCTTATCTGTGTTTGGAAGATCACAAGGAATGGGCCGGAAAAACGCTGAAATGGGAAAAGCAAACCTCAGTGTCCTGAAAAGGGAAAAGTCAGAAGATTGTTAAATTTGTCTTTTTTTTTTCACGCAAATTTTACGAGAGGATTATAAGGATGCTGTTTTTCCTCGTGATCGTGTGGTTAAGGACATTTGTGTACAGCTTCCCAGATACATTCAAGACTCTTTGCGTCACTAGTTTTCTGCGTCCTTTTTTGAGAGATAATAATTATAGCCAAATCTGGGAAGGCAAGTCAATTAAAAAAACTTTGAAAATCTTAGATGAACGAAGAGTCATCAAAACATTTTTAGCCTTTCTTGGACTATAGAAATTTGTAAACAATTTTTGTTCTTTAAACTTATATTTTACATCAGAAAACTTTCGTTGGGTGCCCCTGATTAATGAGGATAGAGAAATATTAAATAGTTAGGACTGAATATTGGCATTACTGGAAACTAAATCCATCTTGTCAGTTCGTGTCCTTAAACTGCGCCATGAATCCTTGGTGAAAGGTTCTTAGTCGCTCAAACATTGGAGCAAACGTCTCTTCAGAAGGAAGAATAGTGATCCTACCAAGAAAGATTAAAACATGAAACCGTTTTAAATTATTTCCTTCGTGTGGATAGCGGGCCTTAAAATCAAAACGTTTTGGGTTCTTTTAATCCACATACCGTGGGGATAAAACTTGGTCGAATTTTATCAGACTTTAACACGCTGACAGAACGTCGCTTTTGCAGACTAGCTAGTCTCTTTTAGGACGCGTTACAGACCTTTTTTCCCACGTAAATCTAAGCTCTGGTCAATACCGTAAAATCCCGTTTGTAAGCCCCTATATTTGTAAACACCAATTCTATTCCATTTGTAGGCCCTCCGATCCCCTAAATAAGCCCCCATCACCCCGGCTATGGGCCAATCTCTGTATACCCTTATCATATGGCTGGTTCCGGGAACGGACAAGATGAGGAGAATAATTAGTTCTGATTGTTGGTTACCCGAGCAAGCAAGTAATCATCGATAATTTGCAATGTACTATGGGATTCTTGTCGGCGACCCTCTTCTGTTCTATCCGTTGCCTGGTTACTTTTTGGTCGTGGGTGGGGGAGGGAGAGGGGTCTTTCCAATATTAAAGGTGCAGTCTAAATATAGACAAGCCTGTGAAAACCTTGTGACACCTGGCGCAAATGATATCACAGAGAAGTTTTTAAAATCATCAAAATTCCGACCTGAAGTGGAAGGCCCTTGTTAATTCAAATCTTACCTGTAGTAAAAGTTGTTACCGCTGCCTTAAACTTCATAAGTCCTCCCATCAATCCGTAAACATGGCCAATACAAACTGTTTTAAAGTCCCTGGAATAAAATGATCATGATTGGCAATGAGACTGACCTCCGTTATAAAGTAGTGGATCTCATAAGAAGATATTATCCAGATACTATTTTAAGAGCGAATGCACAGAAAAATCGAGCAAAATCGGCAAATCGTGGCCACAGCTCAAAACCTAACTTACCCTCATTTTCAGTCTGTAATAAGGTTTTAATGAGTTTATAACACTGCTGAGGTTTAAATTTCAAAATGCGGCCGAGTTTGGGAATTATTTGAGATTTTCGATTTCAACGGTCAGCGGGCCTAAAATTAGCCGCCGAACTCGGGAAAATAGCCCAGCGACAGAAATGAGCTGACTTTCATAAACGAGCGAATATATTGGCAATCTTCCACTTAAATCTCAAAAAGCAGATATCTAACAATTTCTGAACGGCACATTTTTTAGATTTAGAGTACAAAATATCGACGAACGAGCACAATTTTGAAACGTAATTTACATAATGCTTATAAATACAACAATTTACCGCTAAAACCAAAATCGAATTTTCTATATGGGGGAATTCTCCAAATCACCCCAAATCCCGCTTACTACCTAATGAGATATAGTACTTCAACATTATCTGAAAGTTAGTCTGGTGTTCTTGCGAACGCTTGTAAAAGAGATTGATTATTTTGAGGTTATTTTGCTCCAAACAACCGCTAATTGACCCCAGGTCAGTGGACACGTTTACTTCACCTTAGTTTTACGCATCGATTTGAGCTCGTTAAAAGGGAGAAACTAACAAGATTCTTTTAATATGTACCTGTTTTAATGAAATACACGTAATCTTCAAAAGGAGAGGCCGTTCAATGGGTAATTTCTGTTCTTGAGATCTTGTAGATTGCAGCATGGCGTCTGCGAGTGGACCTGAGTCTAGGTCTGTTTTCCCGTGACTGCGAAATCAGAATAACATCAAGAAATAATTCTCCCTCGAATCTTCGTAAGTGAATCAGCTTTGCAGTGCCTTACCTGAGATAAAAAGTGGGCCGAATAGCAAAACATTTCTAGCGCAATTTGGATCCTTTGTGGAACGCAGTATATTGCTGAGCGAAAGGTGAGTAAACAAACATGGGAAAGTACGTTACCTTTGATTGCGTGACCAGCCAGCAAATGATGGTCTCCGGCGAAAAATAGGATTCGCAAAAATCTTGCTGATGTATATTTAACAGTTTGTTACTATAAATTTACACCTGGTTTGTCTAAAACTTTAAACAATGCATATCTGTCCAAGAGTATAAGAATGTTTCGAAAGATCCACCCCTAAATAGCTGTGGGCTACTCCTTTTTCCCCATCACCAATGTGCACTTCCTTCCCACTGTCTTTTGCATGAGGCTTGTATGCCTTTTTAACTCTTATCGACACTTAAAACTGGCCGTTTAAGGCCTGGTTTAAGAACTTGACTGACTTGAAAAACCGTCGCGAACATGCGCTATTATTGTTGGACTTTGGAAGCTTTAAGCCCAAAATGATGGTGCAATGTCGAGAAATTTGCCCGGGTCTAATTACAAGACAGGGAACGGGTACTAAGAAAGGGACGGTCTCATTTAGCAACCCGTGGACAATCTGGGCATGCTTGCCTTCTGTCGCAGGGGCAACCGTTAAGGCCAGGTACGCCGCCCCCACCCGAGAGGATTGCATGGCATCCACCATTTCAGTCGCTTTTTCCACATCATGACCTTCAATTATCATGAATTATAATGCGGGCCTTGACCAGAAGTCTAATCTTCGCACTGTTAGACCATGAGAATCTCTATTATTAGTCCATAAATGCACCATTGACTTTTCCTTGCTCAGCTTCCGGTAAACCGATACTCCGAAGCAAAAATAGCTTTACCAGGCCAGAAATCCTGATATCAACGAATATACCCCCTAAAGAGAGTAAACGT